GACTTCCTAGTTCACACCGGGGCCTCCCGAGCCTGTGAGGGAACATCCTTAACACAAAATATGGACTATTGGTGGTAACATGAGCTAACTAATCGATAAATGCCGGCTCTTGATCCAGAAAACGGGCCTCTCGATCCAGAAAAAGGGTTGTTGTCCATGCTAAGTGCTCCCTAGCTGAAGTATTGCACCCTTCTTGATCTGAATTTTTGGGAACATACATAGCTACTAGATCCTCAATTTAGGCAAAGGGACAAGAAGGTTACCAAAATTTTGAGGGGACAAAAACATACCGTTCTCCACCCGCCTGTCGGCAAGGGAGACTGCCTCTCTGCTCCTCCCTGACTCAGACCATGAACACAGATGTAACTCACGATAAGGTGAAGCGCCCCGACATTGCCGGCAAGGATATCAGTCCCTCGCCGCTTCCACGCTTGGTCGATGCCAGGCTGTCAAACGATGCTCCAGGCTGGTATTTCACCTTCAACCTTATGATTCCAGAATGCAGTCTTTTGAGTGTCCCTGGGAGCCCCTGGATTCAGAAGTGTTCCTATCCAAGCACCTGCGCAGCCTCAGTCAGCTGATGCTTTTTTGAAGTATGCGGCTTGAAGAAACAGGGACCCGAGGGGCCCCCTCGGACCGACGATCAAGGACCCGATTGGAAGGCTGAAGGATCTGAAGAGCCCGAGGGCGGGCTGTATGTCACATTAAGGATTCCAGCCCGTAGGGCCGTAACATCCAATGGCACTCAGAGGGCCTCTTGCACTGATTGAGTGCACCCGGGACAATACGGATGTTGATTTCGGCCAGAGACCACCAACATCGAACAATCGGTTCCGAGTGGGTGTGAGCCCCGGGACCCAGTTACCAAGCAGGCACAGCGCCGGTATGAGCCCCGTGGCCCAGTTACCAAGCAGGCACAGCGTCAGGAGCCGCGATTTGTATTGGTCGGGGCCCTGAAACGATGAGGGGCCACTGTGTCAGTAAGACCACCGTGCCCCATAGAGGGTCCTGTATCGGCAATGGATCCCAAATCGTCTTGGGAGAAATATGCTAAACGAGGACAAGGCCGCGAATATCAGAGGGCCTCTGGCCTTGATCGGAACATTTAACAATGTAAGGAGATATGATAATTTTTGATGATAGTTATCAACGAGACAATGGAAGGGGCCTGCGCCAGTCAGGGCCTCTGGCGCCGGAGGAGGAGAGGGAGGGGGCTCCACCCCATTTAACCCAAGGACTGGTTAAACCAAACTGAAGTGGTACCAGTTATTGGACCACCTGCGGCATTAAGACGTCTTGATGCATCAATGAGGGTTCTTGAGCTGATTCGTGCCCGTTGGCAGAGTCAGAAGGCCTCCCTCGTCAAGGGGCGGATCAATGTTTGATGTACATGTCTAAGGGCCTTCGGATCGACCAGGGGACCTAAGCCCACGTACGCCGAACCGTCAGCCGGCACACGCCACGTGCTGAAATGGTATGGTCCTTCAGCGCCTGGCCGGGAGCGATGATGTGCATTCTGGTGTTCTACCCACAGGGCTCTTGTCCGGAAAAATAAGGGGTTTGTAAGTGTTTTACAGATTGAATAAAAATGAGGAAAAAAAGGAAATACACCAACCAATGCTTGCCCGAGATTTTCCATGTTTTCGCGAAATCATCTCCTTGGAAACATATTATATAGCACTTTTTGGGCCTGTGTGCTCGCAATCTTAGGAGAACAATGACGGCTGGGGTGCAGTTTCCGCAAAACCGAGCGGCATTGGCCCCTGAGGATAATATCAAGCGAGGGACGCCGGGCGTGAAAACGGCCCTTGTGAAATAATGCCTCCGAAAATGTTCTTAAAGCCATTTGTTCGTTCAAAGATTAGATAAGAGCGTGTATTTCCTCTTCATGCTTGTAAGGATGTCCTCTACACAGATGAACAGTCACAGCAACACGAAAAATAAAGGCTCTTCTTGTACTCTTCCAGCACAGCCAGATTCCAGCGCCAGGCCGCGATGCTGGAGACGCTAACCAATTCCTCATACCATCAATCTGAAACTGCGTACAGTCGATGTTCTAACGCGTTTAAAGGTACGTCTTTCACATGCGCCTCGAACACTATAGCGTTCGAATACCATACGAACACTACAGGGTTCGTGATCTTATAGCTAACACCAACACTATAGCGTAAGCCGCGGGCCGATAACACGTGACTTGGACACTACAATGCCGGGGGTCGGTTCTTTTTAAGACATTCGAGCGCGCATGTTCACAACTTTGCTACATTTCTTTCTCACTGGTCGATTCTGACCAAACGTTGATGTGTATTTCCAGACAAACATGGTTGGCCATGTTAATACAAATTCTTGAAACCCATTCCGCCGCACGATTTATGTTTCAATGTCTCCGTAAATCACAGAAAAAAATTGTCGAAACATCTGACGTATATCGGTTTAAAAAGAGTTCACTTTACCAATTGTAAAATGGCAAGCACCGGCGGTTTTACTCCATACAGTCATTTAATTGCCCGCTTCCTTTGCTTTATTTACATAAAAATACAAACAGTATGACATCTTTCGGTAGCTACCGGTTTCCGCCCCGGTAAAAGGAAAAGGAAAATACAAATGAAGGAAATCTTAAAAATCGTTTAGGAGGGGGGGGGGGTTCAACATAAGGCACCCTTTGCCAACTATGTGCCTCCCCCCTAACCAGGTCTGGCTGCGCCCCCCTGGTTGCGACAGCTACTCGTAGATAGTATGCGGTGCCACGCTGTCACAAGAGGGATGGGGTCTGCCCGGGGCACAGATGCTGTAACAGCCGTTGTAGAGGGTCAGAATACCACCGACGGCCGTGGAAAGCCCGGCTGCGGGCCGGCGCGCTGTCCCTGCCCGCGCCAGTTGTCCCGTCTGCCCCTGATATCGTCGCCGGGGTCGCCTCCAGTTGGGCCTCCGTACCGATACGGCGATTGCCGGGTGGTGCGCCCATCTCTCCTCGGACCCCGCTTTATCCGAGGTGCGGGGCCTCGGTTTTCTCGCGGTGCCCGCCCTTCCTGTGTGAAAGGTAGGCGGCGCCGTGCAGCCTCAGCTGCTGAGAGCGACGTATGTGCCGATGACCGTGACGGGGTGCCGAGGGTCGCTTAAGCACGGCAGACTCGGCAGACTGGTCTGCAGACTGAGCGCCGCTCAGCGGCTGACGCAAGTGCATTTGAAGAATGTGACTTCTCAGCCCTCATAAATCATTTACCACTATCACATGGTTGCCAGCTGGGTTCCGGACCCCAGCAAGCTTGTGTATGATGGGATTTTGTGGTTTGAGCTCAATCATTGTCATCGGTTGCGTCAATAACGTCAGATATCATTGTTCTGGCAAATGGGTAAACACAGCCGTTGAGACACTAGATGTTTCGCGCACTTCTTTCGAAGGTATTCTTGATGCGTCCATCTTCGTAAACCTTATAAAACCGATGATCTCTGAAGCTTCTCTCAACGCGGAATCGATTCCATAACTAAGCTGATCTCTTCTACTAAAAATCGGAGAATATTCACAACTTTGCTACACTGCTCGGAGTAGGAATCGGAATCAGCTCCACGCGCTGCGACTCAAAGCCCCCACTTGACCCCACTGGAGCGGGGTCAAGCACAAGTCGCTCGTGAACTGCACCCCTGTCGAGTGGGGGTGCAGGGCGGGCCACTCCACGGGCATCGGCGGGCCTCGGCTGTCCGGGTGCGGGTCAGCTGCCGGCCTCACCGATAACGAGACATCTACCTATAACGCTGCATGGTTATTGACAGTAAGGAATGCAGCCCTAACCCCCCTGACAACAATAAGTGTGCACTATCTGGTTACAACTAACTTCGCTCTTCCATTCATGCCGTCATGTTTCCCCAAGCGCATAACTCGTGTCACGGATGGGATAACCGCTCGGCTTGTCGTCTTCGTCTGGTGTGTTAGTATGTACACATGCACACCAGGCGATGACGATAATCCGAACAGCTCTTCCATCCGTGATGCTCATACCACGTCGCAAGTGTTCCGTAAAACCGCAGATATCGTAGGCCAACGCGCACAAATCAAGTGCCATGTCATCTTTAATTTGTTTTTGATATTTGCCGACAAGGGGCCAAGGTTGCATCCCGAATCAAAGCTGAAAGGAGGGACGTTCGACGCAGCGCACATCCAAAAATCGCGAAAAACAACAGGAGTTTCCTGCGAACCACGGTCTCACTAAGCCATAGCCTGCTCAGGTCTGCCACTGGCAAGCGGCTGATCAAATAAACGGAGGAGTGCCTGGCCGGCCTGCAACATCCCTCCTGGCCGCTGGTCTGGTTACACGTGACGACACTGTGTGCCTACGTCGGCGGCTACAAGTGCACCCGCCTCCTCCCTCCCGAGCGGACATCACGGGGACAAACCGCGGCGACGTCTGCCTGTCCGCGCCGTCACTGGGCTCCAGTCACACCCCACCGCCGACGGCCTGACGCCGCACTGCCCACCACCTGTGACGCAACACCGCACCGCCCACCGCCCACCACCGCACTGTCCACCGCCGGTGACGCAACACCGCACCTTCCATCGCCGATGACGCAACACCGCACCGTCCACCGCCGATGACGCAACACCGCACCGTCCACCGCCGATGATGGGTCACGCCTGGCGGATGACATCGAACTGAACCCGGATCCGGATGGTGCGGTGGCACAGGTGGCGCCACCTGCTGCAAGCACGGGAATACTTAACGTATTGCCACGCAACGTCGCAGCTTAAAGAAGCAGCTGGCCTGCGCCCCGGCCGTGGAACGCTTTGGCATTCTAGCAATATCGGAAACCTGGCTGAACGGCGCCGTGTTAGGACTCCAAGCTCGATTATCGTATTCCAGCAACGCCCCTGGTTCCGCCGAGATCGTGGGTCTGTAGGTGGCGGCGTGGCCTGCGCCCGTCCGCGCGGCACTACTGCCGCTGCGCCTGCCAGACCCGGCCAACATCGAGGCCGCCGCTGATCCGTCTGCACGATGCATCGGTGGCTCTGGTCGTGTGTTACCGCCCTCCCGACGACGACGCTGCAACTGACCGAATAGCTGCTGCCCTGTGAGCAGAGCAATCGCTGAATTGCAGAGCTGTTGACGTCAGATCTTTCAACCTCCCTGAGATATATTGGACACAGGCAGCCGGTGGTGCCGCTCCTGATCTGCGGAGGGCGTCGAACCGTGCCACTGCATTCGTCGACATGTGCGACTTGCCGCGTCTGAAACAAGGGGTCCGCCAACCCGCTAGAGGAGAGAACTTTCTGAATCTAGCACTGTTTCCGACTAGAGACCCCAACTTTTCAGCCCGCCAACCCGCCAAGTCCTGGCGCCCAAGAATCCGCGAAATTTTGGCCAGGTTTTGGGCCAGCCTAGGCTGGCTTTTGCAGATCAAACATTTCAGCAGCTAGAATAATGTGATGGAAACCTGCATAGCATTACTGCAGCTTCACGCACTTGTCAATGCCGCCAGCAGTTACTGGCTCATGAAATGCGCAGCACTTGCCAAAACTTAAAAAAGTAGCGGCATAGAGTTTGTGTATCTATGAAGAAAATGCAATTTGTGACCATGACTCCGAGGCACTGATTTAGCACGGCTTTCCCTTACAGCGGATGTTGCTATTTTCCAACGTATTTTTCACAAAAGCTTTTGTTTTGACTTGTTTATTTTCCAATACTTGAACCCACATGTAATCCTGTGTGAAATATATTTATCTCAATATGTGACGCCAATGAAGCATTCAACAAAGCTCACAAGTTGCAGTCTGCAAGTCGTGAGAAATAAAGAACGAATTCTTGGAAATTGTTTTTAAAACTTTTGGTTTGTCTTCATAGACATTTTCTGCAGCACGCAAAAGTATGTCACGGTTTTTGATGGCATTGCTAAATGTCAACGATGTGACAGGAGGGTCAAATATTCGTGAACAAAACGTTATTGCCCTCTTCTTTCACACCCTATTACACAAGCGGCGTTACAATGGCTGTGTGACAGAACGTGGTAGTGGTGAGACAGAAATGTGGATCTTTTCAAAGCTACTAAGTGGTTTTTACGTGGTGTGGTCACATGATCTATTGACTTAAGGGCAGCAAACAACATGAAGGAGGCTGAATCTGGTTGTTTAATGATAAATATGACCTTATGGCAATTGTAACGCAGTCGAATTCTGATTGAGCTTTTGCACATTGTAATGAACTGATGCTTCCCATTACTTGAAATATCCAGGATGTTTTACTCTGTCAGTGCAAAGCCATGAGTTGAGACATGCAGTTTTAGAAGAAATGACTCGTGGTTTTCTAAGATGAGTTAGAAGGGTGACATCATTGTACCACTTTGGTGAAAGGCATATTTAATTTCCACGCTCGTCATTCCATTTGTGGTTGAAAACCGCTATCACAGCGTTTAAGATCTGCTTTGGTGCGTTATAAATCCCTTTTGCAGATAATGTTATTGCCGCCCCCTGAGCGACATCACGGGTGTTAGGGAACAATGAGGTGACATATGCATGCTATTTTATGCCCACTTTAATGTATAGTTCTAAAATCAAGGTGAAATTAGAAAATGTTCATTGCAATAAATTTGCACTCGTGGGTTAAGAACGGATCAGCTTTGCAGCATGGAAGTGTTTTGCGGGTTGGATCACTAGCCAGGCGGAACGGGCTGGGCCGCGGGCTGATATTTTGGAGACAGTTGCATCTCTAGTCCCAACACATACTGTCACAGATCAATGTGCAAGATAGTCTTCTAAACTCAGACCGCAAGGAGATCATTGCCACCCTCAGCATGTCCCTGCGCAGCTGGCCTGTGGTCAACCGGGCGCAGTGCATTCGACTTACGTGCTAACTTCGGCGGTCTGCGCCAGAGTCTCTCGCTGATCCCGTGGGGCCTCCGGATGACGTCGGGTCTGACCAAACAGTGGACACCTTCTACACACTACTTGAGTCGGCCCATCGCCTACCACGTCCTCACGGTGATCCTCCGGCGCCGACTGCTCCTATGGTTCGACGGTGTGGTGCGAGCTGCTCTCCAGCTAAAAGGAGCAGTTTGCCGACGTCTGCGGAGAAGAAACCCCAGCACGGTGACCACAGCTGAGCTCGTGGGCAGGAGACGTGATTTTAGAACGGTGTCCAAAATACGTACTCCAAATATTACATAGGCCCACCGACGACTTCAAAACCAACCCTAAGCGGTACTGGTCGCTATTAAAATGTGTTATTGAGAAGTACCGCATCACCATGCATGCAGGCATGCATCACCAGTCTGGTATCACGCTAAGCGGACTCTCGTGCGGATAACATGGCTCGCGCTGCCCGTTGAATGACGCCTTGATATGAAATTCGCTAATATTTTGTGGGCAAAACCTCCAGATGCACCATGCTACCCAGTCGGGTCACGAGCCAGCTGAGGGTCTCGGGAGGCAGCCCTGCGATCCGCGATATCTATGGTCGGTCCCGACAAGGCTTAACGCTATTAGTCCCCGCATAATCACCGAGTGGGCGGACGAAGTTGGTCGCTCCGCTCAACAAGATTTGCAACCTTTCGGTCAGGTGTGATGTCTTCTCGGAGAGGTGGAAGCAGGCCAACACCATACCAATTTCAAGACAGGCAGTCAAAAGAAGCCATTTAATTACAGAAATACATTCCTGCCTTCCTCTCCTCGGAAAGATGCTGAAAAAGTTTGCGTATGGTGAGGCTGTCCCGCCACGTCTCGCCTGCGTTGTGCTGTCATCGGCATGGCTTGATTCCTGGGCGTTCGTGCGGGCACGGCCTTATGTGTTTACATAAGTCGGCTTGGGAGACCATGTCGGACCGGGATACCAGACGGACGCCATTTACACTGACTTTTCGGCTGCCTTTCACAGCGTTAACCGTGAACTCCTAATCCACAGCCTAAAAAATCATACTATTTGAGGGAATCTGCACTACAATGGGTAGCCTCGTATTTGTCCGACGGGCGTCACAGGGTTATCATTAACGGAAAACTTCCGATTGAAAATTGGTGACCTCTGGCGTCCCGGATGGGTCACTCTTGACTCCCTTCTTCTCAGTGTTTAACGATCTTCCGTGCGTTACTGAATCCGGGTGCCTTTTGTATGCCAATCATGTAAACATTTTCCGCAAAACCACGTCTCGGCTGACGGCCTACTGCTGCAGAATGATTATGATCATCTGGTAGAGTGTTGGGTCAGATGTGGCTGACCTTTAACCCGAACTCTGCCGCACCCAAACTCCGTTCGCTGTACCTCGCGCTCGTGCGCAGAAGATACAGGGCTGGCTGTTTTGCAGGCTGCTTAGTGTTGGGAGCACTTTTTTTAGCTAGCTCCACCAGCTCGGATATCTTTCATGACAGTTCTGGCATGTTAAGGGTTCATTTGATCAGTATGTTTCAACTCTGTAGAAACCTCACTTGGCTTTGAGAAATGGTATCCCTTTTTGTTCATACTGTTGTGCGCTGTGTATTTGTTGCACTTAATTTAAACGATTTCGCCTGTTAGTGGAGTGTTGCTCTGCAGGCGATAAAAAAGATGAGCGAATAAACAAATGACGCAACACCGTACCGTCCACAGTCGCCGGCGCCGCCGCACCTAGCCGGAGCGCAGCTGTCGCTGCAGCAGCTCAATCTCCAGCCGAAGCTTCCGCTGCTCCAGCCGGAGTGTCCGCTGCTCCATTTGTAGGCTCTGCTCTTGCATCCTCTGCAGCCGCTCTGAGTACTGCAGTAGCTGGGTCAGCATGTGGTCGACGGTGGCCAGGTCGGTCAGCGGCGGCGCCGTCCCGCAGGCCGCCGGCGTCGGCCGCACGGGCTCGGCGGACGTCCCTGCTGACGGCGGGAGAGCGGTGGTCCCAGCTGACGGCGATGGCGGCGGCGGCGTCGTGACGTTATCCGGCGCCCCGACACACAGCTCACCGGCCGCCGGGAACTGCTCGCAGGAGAACGGCCAACGGAATCCAAACTTGGTAATCAGCGGCTCGCAGTCGTCCCTGGCTGCCTGGCACAGCTCGCGACACGGCGGCGTCGCAGCGTCCAGCACTGTGCACGGAGGGAAGTACAGCAGACAGACGAACGACGTCAGGCTAGGGCTGCAACGGACCTTCACCAGCGGCGCGAACTGATGCGCCTCAAGCGCCGCCATATCCACGGTCGTGTGGTTCAGAATGTTGGGCATCTGGGCCCGGCTGTAGGGCTGCCCGGCACACATTTCGTTCGTCACATCCTGACAGCGATCGTTGCTGGCACAGGCCAGCGCCAGCACCAGCACCAGCACTGAGGCGGAGCGCATCGCGCAGTCTCGGCCGGCACGGACGAGGGACTGAGCCAGCCCGTGCTGTTTACCGTCCGTTTAAACACGACGACGACGCACTTGTGACGTCACTATTGCCGTCTACCAAGCGAAGCCGTCGCGTGCCTGAGCCACACGTGTCAGCAGCCCGCTGCGGAAATGAAGAAGGTTTTTGGCTTAGCTTCACTAGGAATCCCCGCACAGCCAGCCAATGTCACGAGGTGTGGTATTGTTGGTTTTCTCATCAAGTAACAGAAGGTGCGCGTTTGAGGCACATTACGCCATGGATTTGGTTACCTATCCGAAGCGTTGTGCTTCTTCGATATGGCGTTGCCAGGACCCCGCATGTCACGTTCGGAGCCACAAATAGCATTTGGTCTAAACGTTGGGACAAATCACGCTTTGGTTCTGGTCACCTGGGTGCAAGGACAGTGTCATCTTGCAGACCAATAAATAAAAAAACAGATAGGTCTGTGCTCGTCCGCGACGGCGCGCGGGTGATTACCCGTGAGGAATGGTGCCCTGCTTTAAGCAAATTCTCTGCTCCAGCGGTCCGCAAAGGATCGCAAATATGTGCATTTGTCAAAGAAATGAGTCGTTGTTGCTACAGCGTCACATGAGCAAATCATTCCAGCAGCTTCTCACACGGATGAGAAGGAACCACGGCTCCCATTCAGAAACATCAGGGGCGCATCATCATCCACAAATATTGAACGCACCAGTTCTATGATTTGACCTGACCTGTCAAATCGGAGATAGTTTTTGTCAGCACACATTCGCAGTAACGGACAGCAGTGTACCGGACAATTAGTGGTGGTTCATTTCATCCAGGTAACGTATCTCTTTCGAGGCATTCTTTGTCAAAATGGGTTATGAACTATGCAAGCTGTTCTGTTGTGCCGCCATTTACAATCCAGTAACATTGAAATATCTGTTCTAAGAGCCACAGCTATCGTGTCCTAATCGCTTAAAGGTCATTCAAAATGGGAAGTTGCAGACAAAGACAAAATTCATCCTAGTTATTCGAAGGTGGCTGATTAGCAGCATGTGTCAAAAATTGGGTAGCTAAGCTGGTGAAAGGCCTTGTGTTGGGCGGGACAGTTGCCCCGCGTTGAATGAGTTACTGCTGTTGAACTCAGTACCACAGGTAGCAATGCGACTAAGCTATCAATCGCAGGACAGTTTAACTTAACAACCATAATTCGTTTTGCCCACCCGCTGATGCCATATTCAAACAACCGCTGAAACAACAAAAATGCAAGTCAATTTGGTATGTAGCCTACTTCATCCATTTAAGCACATAGGTCATCCACTACGATGCTATTCAAAATGCTTTTCGACAACGTTCTTAGTTCAGTCCAATCCGATAAATACAGGTCATTTTTTGGCGTGATATTTTATAACGAATCAATGTGCCAATAACCTAATGGATCCAGTTTGTCAAGACATCTACCGACGGTTTGATCCGCTGGTCAAGGTGAAAAAAACAGTGAACAGCTAGTTGAAGCTGCTGCGGAAATTTTGCTAAAACAGAAACAAATTTCCCAACTGTGCACGGACATATTGCCGACGCATTACACTTCTAGCTGCTGCGCTTAAGTGTGTCAACAATCCACGCTTCTTACCTTGTTTCCTGTGAGCTGCATAAATGCCTGGGCGGCAACGGCCAGGCTCGTGACAAACCAAAGCCGAAAGGCTCATCGCAACCTTCAATGAAGGGCCCGCAAAGCCGTCCGGAGGTCGCATTCAGGGTTCCTGACCCGCAGAGACAGACACGCCAGTGACAGCCAGAGGGCCCTGCGCGCTGATCAGGGACCTCCTATATCGATAAGGGCTTACATGTTGGTCAAACACCCCGAATAAGGCACAGTCGGCTCCGTGGCGGCATGGGCCTGGGGGTACATTTCCCAGACAGGAGATAACAGGAGCCAGCGATTTACATTGGTCGGGGCCCCAGCGCCTGTCAGCGTCCCACAGCGCCCTGTGTGGGCCAGGGGGGGGGGGGGGGGACACGGGGGACAGGGTAACAGGGGCTCTGTGTGGCAACGAGCCCCGAGTTGGTCAGAGGTAGTGTTCGAGGAGGCCCGGAGAGCCCAGAGGGCCCACCGAGTCCAATGATCAGGGTTAGATTGGAGGGTCTAGGGGCACGAAGGGCTGGTTGGAGTCTTACTCTGGTGCCCTGGTCTACAGGGTAAAACTGCTGGCCTCAAATAACAGCCAGAGGACTCCTTGCACCGATCAGGGGCATTCTGAATCGATATGGGCCTACATGTCGGTCAGGCACTATCAGTAACGCACAGTCGGTTCTGTATCGGTATGGACCTGAAGGGCCGCTTCCCAATCAGCTATAAAGCCAGGACCAGTAACTTACACTGGTCGGGGCTCCTGTATTTATCAGGGGCCTAAAGTGTCTAAGATCCTGTGCTGGCAAGGGACACAGCCGACCAAGGGAAGTGTTCGACAAGGCCCGAAGAGGGGTCCGGGTGGCTCGCCGGAATCGACGATTAAAGGCCCGGCTGGAGGGCATAAGGGCGCAAAGAGCTGGCTGTGGTCACATGGAAATTCGAGGCACGGAGGGCCGTGACTTAAAATATCAGTCAAAAGCCTTCTTGCACCATTTGAGAGGCCCCGAGCACAATGCGGGTGGCATCCAGAGACTACCGAACACTGAACAGTCGGCTCCAAGTCCGTCCGAGCCCTTGAAACCCAAACAGGAACGAGGCCGGGCCTACGATTTGCAATGTTCGGGATCTCTGACACAATGAAGAGTTGGTTTGTTTGTTCAGTTTTGGTGAATACGCTTTGACCGTAGCCGTCTTTAGAACATTACGCTTCCTCTTGACTGATGACGATGCTACGATTCTGGTGTCTCTGGTCAGGTCGTCTCGGGTGATGTTTCAGGCGCGTTTTTTCATGTGCTCTTTTGGAGCACCGGCAGCCAAGTACATCGTCAAACGCCTTGAAAGTGTGGCGGCAGTGACACCAGCGTAGGTTCATTGCTTTAGGTATCTGCAATTTCCTATGCCACAACCAAACTGGTTAACTACGTTAATACGTTTCAATCGGTTGGTCTTGACTGTTAAATGATTTCTCATGATGAGTTGGGTGATTTTGTTTTTGTTTTTGTAGTGTATGGTGAGAATGACTACCCAAAACCACATTTAACTCTGAATGGTTGGTGAACTCTGCGGGCGACACCATCCCTTCCCTTTCATACGGTGACCACAGTGCCTGCTATCGCAACTACCATTTTCTTTCTAGCCCTGGCGAGCCTTGTCGCTTACAAAGTCCAGCCAAGGTGTATGAAACCAATACTACGCATATCCCGTCCTGACCCAAACGCTTTGCCTGGCTTTGAACTCCCAAGAAGATCAGCAAGTGGTCTAGTTCATGACGAACCGGACGAAGTCAAGACGAGGTTCAAGATGAAGACCAGACTGGCCAACTGCTGTGGGAACATTGATGACGACGCCCCGGTCTCACGGTTCGTACGCCGCACCCTGCAAGGCAGTGTCCGTTTACCTTCCGCCGAATCACCACTAGGCCGCTTCACCGGATCAGACTACTGGGTACAGCTTGTGAGAGCTCGCTAGCCCTGTGCCAGGGTGTAACCCACATAAACCTGCCGGCTCCTCAAGCACCTGAACCTTCCTCGCCGACCACAGATCCGCCAGGTTTGGGAAAAAAGGCATGGCCTGACCGACAAACAGCACCGCTCTCCGGCAGCTGTCTGCAGCTACAAGCCTATCCTCCTGGCTGCAGCTGCAACAGCTCGCTATCTCTCTCTCCATCATGGACCATAAACATCACACAGTCCATTTTGGGTGAGATCCGAGTGCAGGGAGAGACATTAGTGCCTGTCGGATGGTGGCAAGCGTGTCGTTGCGACGACACATGGGAATCCTTAAACAACTTGCCATAATCCTGAAACAACTTGGCTTTGTAATGGAGTATTTTGTAGAAAAGAAGGTAGGCCTGGACTCGACCACCAACTGGGGTCTACAAGGCAAGCCAGAGCCGAGGTGTTTGAAACCAGCCTACAGAACTCTGCTAGCGGTGCCTCGACCACCGCCTGCACCACTGCCAGAGATCTGTGCCAGCTGTACAGAAGATTTTCCGTCCAAAGAAGTCCTAGAAGTCCACGAGAGGGATTGCCAGTCTCTCACTAGCATCTCAATGGCTGTCTCGGAAACCCCTTCCCTGGAGGAGGTTCAGCCTCTCTCCTCTGCGCCGGACCTGACATTGGACCTCAGCCTGCTGGTCTCCTATCTGAAGCAAGACGAGAGCGACCTGCCTCTGTGGGTCCCACTGGTCTTTGGAAAGGACCCGGCGAGCCTGCCTACAGATGCTGTTGCTCCTGCTAGTGCTGTTGCCGCTGTTGCTGCTCCTGTTGCAGCTGTTGCCACTGCCACAGCCCGTGCTGCTCTTGCTACTGCCGCTGCCGTTGCCACTACCCCTGCTGGTGCTGCTGCTTCTGCTGCCACTACCCTTGCGTCAAAACAAAAATGATCCAGGAGGCACCGTTTGCCCAAAAATTTTCATAAGGAGAGAAAACGACCTGAATGTGTTATAAAATCAGGGAGCTAGAATCGCTTTTGAACTAGGGTGGGAGTGAAAAATTCCATCGCAAAAAAACGTGTGGGAGTGAAAAAAATCAATTCACAAAAGGGATGGAGCTTTTGAGCTCGGGACTGATGCTTCAGCAAACAAAGACATTTATTTCAAGTTGGCATGCACGTAATATCAGGAACCTGACAAAACTATTTCGTTTTTTAACATCTTAGGCCATTTAAGTGAAACAGAATACATTAACACGCGCTCGGGTGGCAGGTGGGGGTGCAAATTACCCCCCCCCCCCCCCGAGGGCTTTTCCCGAATGGTTTCTGAACGGCGCGGCGTAATTGCGCCAAATTTTGCATAGCCGTAGAAAATTGCACAGCGGATCGTTTGACGTGCAAATTTTAGATGTACCTTGTAAGCTCGCCGACCTATGACAGGCCACAGTCCGCCC